TTTAGTCTAATAGTAATATAATTTGTATTTGAGCACCGACAAGACTGTCAAAGAATTAAAAAAAAAAAAAAAAAAAACTCTTTTATAGATCCTAAACCCATACCCTAACTCTAAAATTTAGTAAAAACTTATTTTTTAGCAAAAAACTATTATAAAATAGGGGGTGGATATGCATATCCTATAGCATAAAATTAATATTTTCTATAATTAATATTGTCTAATTGTATAATATTTGAGAGGTGCTAGTAAAAACTAAGCAAATTGTTTTTAGTAGGTTTTTTTAAAAAAATTTTATTAAGCTTGTTTAATAATTATTAAGATATTTTATTTTAAAGTTTTAAAAAAATTACTTAAAAATAATTTGCTTGGTTTCTATTAGCATCTCATATTTGTCAAAAACTTTTTTATGCATATTGACAATATATGCATTTAAGTTATAAAAACTTTTGTGTTATTAATTAAAATCAAAATTTTTTATGCATTTAGAGAGTATATACAATTGGACAGTATCAACTGCAATTTGAAATTTTTTTTAAAAAGTTTTTTTTGATAATTGAATTGTTGGTTATGTAATTGAATTCGATTGGTTGATTACAGGTTACTAAAAAAAATAACACCTATAATATAAACTCTAATTCTAATTTTAAATTATTAACATATAAAACACATAATTTTTAAAAGCTTATAAATAAAAAACTAAAGTAGATATTAACCAAATTTCTTTGTAAAATAATAAAATCAAGCCTAAAAACAAAGTTACAAAGCTTATTTTTTTAGTTAATTTGGTTGAATTGTTTAAAGTTAGTTAATTTTATTAATAGAAACCAAAATTTGGCCACATATATATAAAAACATAATAAAATTTTAAAAAATATAATAAATTTCAAAAAACATAATAAAATTTTAAGATATTAGCCAATCAGAAGTTAGTATTCTGTCTCAAATTTGACCGCTTTTAATAAAAGTTGTTGGTTTAAGGATGCCCGCACTGTAGTAAGTAAACCTTTTTTCAAAGTCTAATTAAAGCTGTAAAGCTTGTTATTCTAATTATAAGTGGTTAAATCATTAAAATTGGCCTAGTAGATTCCAAAATATTTGAGATCAAAAATTCACTATTACATGAAGTATTATAGACATATAATAAAATATGCCATAATTCAGTAATTCTTAGACATTTTGGTTTATCACATGATTTTAATACAGTACAAAACTTAGCGATGTTTTTTTAATGCATGTGTATAGATTTTTTTTTTTTGTACAAAGGATCTAAAAGATCTTGGATTAGAAAGACCCAAACCTACGGGCTCAGGTATAAAATAAACATTGATTTTCGAATAATGATTGTCTTTTTTTAGTTTGAAAAATTATACAGTATTATTGAATTGATACATACAATTAAACGCACCTTTTACCCTTATTATATATCCCTTGTTACCTATTTGCTCTATTTTAATATCAAAAATAAATAAAATTAACTAAGTGATGCAAATCCAACAGAGTTTGTAGCAAGATCAAATACCGAATAAACACTTTTAAGGAAGACATCACCCACAAGCCATTGATTATTTGAACCCACAACACCAGGACTAATTCCAGATAAACAAAGATTTGATTGAATTGAAACAACATCACGAACTAAATCTTTTACATTAATACTATAACTAACACCATTAAATTTTAAAGCTACTATAGCATTTGTCTTACATGGAATAGCATATTCCCCTAATTGTTGTATTAATCTAGAACCAGGAATTAATTGATGAACAGCAGCTACATCAGATGGTGGAGCAATTACTAAAGTAGTACCGGTATCAATAATTGCAAGTCTATTTTTAAAACTCAACAACTTTCCATTAACAGAAGCATCATTCATAGGTATCTCCCAAAAACCAGAAGTAGAAACTAATTTAATGAAATTAATTGATCCAGTGAATGAACGAAGATCAGCACCACCAAAAGTAAGAGTACCTATATCATGATCCTCAGCTCTAGATAAATGAAAACCAAACATTGACTGAGTGACAAGCCTTTTCTGAGCCATATTAGAGAATGGTGTTGAGGCACCTTGCGTGCTAAGAGTATCATAAGCCATACCCATTAGGCCATCAAATTGAGAACCTATGAAATCATTAGATTCAACTGATGTGAGACCAAAAACTTGATTTTGAACAGTTATGCCTGAAAGAACTACAGTGTCAGTACAAGAAATTCCAGAAACTGAACCGGAACCATATTGAACAGCAAAAGGAGTGTTTGAAGTTTTAAAATTTTGTGATTTTGCAGGATCAAACTTTGTATGATTTGAGCAGGCAGGCGATGTGCAATTCATAGAAGGAATCCATAGGTCTACACAAGTATAAAATTTGAATTAAAAAAACCAAAATTTTTTTTAAAAAGAAAAACCGAAAAATTTTTAAGAAAAAAATAAAAATTTGTTTTTATTTTACCTGATGAACCGGTATCAAATATTACATTAAATGGTTGACCTCCTACAGTTATTGGACCAAAGTATCCAATATCATTACTAATGCCACTAATATTATCAATAGAGGTTACCCGTTTTTTGTTCTTTAAATCATCTTTGGGTTTTAGAGCTTCTTCGAGATCACTCATAACAGATTCGTCTACTAAACCTTTTTTGTATGCCCTTCTGATAGATGATTGATATTTAATTAATGCACGTTTTTTATGATGCTCACGTAGGTCAGACCATTTAATATGTTTTGGAGGATGGTGTTTGATAAGTGATAATGTACTTTTCGGAGGATCAATTATTGGAGCAGCTTTCAAAGCTACTATGATGGTGATAAATAGCAGGACAAATATCAAAGAAGTTTTCATCGTTATAATATTAAAGGCCTAAATATTAAAGGACTATAGGGAATTAATAAGGCAGAAACCAGTTCTGCTTAACGCAAAGAAGCGATGATGAATTTAGGCCCTAAAAACGATGAAAAGATGGGTTTCTTCAGAACCAGTCTGCCCACACTGATATTAAAGAGACCAAATAGGGAGAAAAAAACCTCCAGGGATTTTAATGGCAATGTATGCTAGTAAAACTGCAAATAAATCATTTTACTTGTACGTACATATTTGGTAATGTACTTTATTATTGTTTCAAATAGTATTGGTAATAATTGTGATACGTACTCCGTTTTGGTATTGTTTATTGCGTGATACAATCGCCAAGTAAACCTTGGTGGCATGATGAATATGTAGGACGATTTTTTTCTGGAAAACAAAAAAAAAAGAACCGAAGGAAACTAATAACGTGCAGACTATCCATTTTAGTCTAAGATTAATATCTACAGGAAAAATCCAAAAAAAATTGCCAAGATAAAAAGTCTTATGCAACTAAACTTTTATGTTCAATTTCCCTATACCGACACTGATCTGATACTGAATGCCAATTGTAAATCTATCTTGGCTCTTTAATGACCATTTATCTGCATAGTAATATATGCATAAGTAAGATCACATTTTGTGATAGACTCGGCAAGTCACGGTCCATCTTAGACCGGGACCCGGGATGTGATGATCATAATGTATACGATATAGATTGTTGTAAAGAAATGTGATCATTTTCATATAATATTATTATTCATGTGGGAATGTGGATGACCTTGCAATGAGACTTGTCACAAAATTACATAAGAACAAAGACTTGAGATCATTCGATGTCAATCTATTTAAAGACAAAGGGTGTCATGTGTGCACAGTAACACAATACTGCGGTATGTAGTTTTCTCGAAGAACATTCTACTACTATGGTATATTAGTCTTTGTTTAGCAAAACCTTTCATGACATGCATTTTTCATCAAATAACCATTTTTAAAAATGTTGACAACGAAAGCTTTATAAATTGTATATCCTGGATTTTCTTAATTCAACAAGTAATTTATATTATTCAAAAAACTGAAAACAGAGAAATTGATCAAAGTATGGTAAGAGAAAATTATATTTAAGCTCATTGGATTTATTTTATAATCATATCCAATCAGCAGGCGTTGGCGTGATTGTATTTTGTAACGAAATAAAATATATAATGCATCAATTCTGATGTTTCAAATTAATATATTTATTTTTGTCTATCGGTGAAGAATTAATTTAATATTAACCGATGGTGAAATTCACCGGCCTAAGAATTTTTAGGGTTAGTTTAGTTCTCGGGAGGTTTTCAGGGGTCCTGAACATTTTTACTTAGAGTACGTACCTGATCCTGTTTACTTAGTACGTTTTTGAATATAGCACCCTGGTGAATTTCACCTCCGGTGAGCGTTAAAATACTCCATCGGTGAAATAAGTAATAGTTATCAGGTGTCGACTGATAAGGGAAGTGTCAGATATCAGCTGATATCGTAGGGTAGGGGGAGGTAGACAAAATCTCAGGTCTAAATATATACTTATAACCAATCAGAATGACTAAACTTCTCAGGAGGGGGAGGGGGTGAGCTCTATAGTAAACTGATCTCAGCTAATATCTGACACGTCCCTAACTTCGTTATCCGACATGTCTGACGTAAGCACTGAGTGATTTCCATGTAACTTATTCGGTCACTTCCTAATACAAATATGCAAACATTCACTCACCTCGTAAGAGATGAGTGAATTTTGTACATGGAAATCATTCAGTGATCACATAGGACGTGTCGGATAATATAAGTTAGATCCATTAAACCGAATAATTTTTCGTCCAATTCGAGTAAGTTCTTAATTTCGGCATAGTTGATACTGTATATATAATTCAAGATCCGGTGATACGTGTAGTACGTACGTACACATATCTCTGGTTGAATATAGAAATATGATATTTCGAAGCATCTTCGCTGGCAATTACAGTAATTGAAAAATTTTTTAGAAAGCTTATCAGTTCGAAAAATTGCTGAACACTTAAGTGTTGGTAGACCTTCTATAAGTCGAGTCTCAAGCAGTTTCAAAGTTACGGATTTGAAAACTTCCGTCACTTTTAGGAAAATCACGTTTACTAAACCGAATGATAGAAGTTATCTTAAAACTCTCAATGAAAAAAAATAAATATAACTGGTAATTCTGTAATTGTATGAATTATAATTAGAGACGAAACTTTGGTTAGATGTAAAATTAGTCTTATAACAATTTGAAGGACTGTAAATCAACTTTGATTTACAAATAAAAAAGTAATATATATGTACTGTACATATACACTATCTTTTTAATATCAGATATGTGTCAATTCGTGTAATATGTTTATTATAAAAGTCTAATTTATATTTAGAGCTTTTTTAAGCACTCTTGCTAAGTTTATTGGTTGACAAAAGCTGTCTTTCCATTAACTTTTGTTTAATTTTGTACAAGCTAAATATATCAAACACGTTGAATAAAAAATCTGACGAAACTTAATGAGCATGCCAACGTTCCAACGCCCGTAGAACAAGTGTTACATGTGATACAAGAACAGCTATATACCGATTATAACGAATTGACCGAAATCATTCTGCTAATTTTTAAATTAAAGAATAAAAGAATATAAAGATCCATATTACAAGACAAGAATCTGCTCTAAAAATATTTCGACTATTATCACCACAAGATAAACGTGACTTTAATCATTTTTTACAGTTATTTTCATATTCTTGGGACACCTGATAAAATTTGTCGGTTAAGTTATTGATTCGGGAATAAAAGATTCAATAACAGATATCAGATATACGTAATTTAAGATCAGCCGAAAAATTGCCAAACACTTAGGTTAGCAAGTCGGGTACCCAAAGATATTGAAAAACTTCCATCACTTTCAAGAAAACCACGTTCACTAAACACGAGCGATATAAAACCTTAACGAAAGAACTACAATTCGAAATGGAACTTTGATTGGATATAAAATTAGTCGTATAAAAATTTAAAAAGTTATACACCGACTTAGATATACACATATATATATCTATATATATCTTTATTTTATAAATTTATTTCCGTGCTTTTATATTTCTTGTTAAGATTTATTGGTTGACAAGATTAATCCTTTTCATAAGTTTTCGTACAAACTAAACACACTAAACATGTCGGGAAATATTCAAACGAAAATTTAATAACGTCGATATTATATGAAAATATATATACATTTTTTTATATACTGATCATGCCGAATAACTTAACCGGGGATCGACCAAAAAATCATTTATCAGATCCCAGAAATTATGGTAATAGCTGGATATCAATAGTAAACGGATATTCAGATCCGGATAAACGTTTAACGGATTGGAACTCTAATTTCTAGCTGAATTCTGAACACTCTAAATCTAACCCTTTCATTAGTTCATTTTTCATACCATTTGTTTTGTAAAAACCTTAGCAACTATTTTAAGGAACATCGTGGATTTTAGATGTGGCAAGTCGTGTAACTGATATGGGCCCTTAAAAATCTATTGGGCAGAAAATTTAGGATGTACAGCTTTTTTTTTTTTTTTTTGGAATCTGACTATATTTCTTGTAAGTTTTCACTTTTCGAAAGAAAGACTTTCTTCAAATGATGAATATGGTAATTTGCGGTCGAATGCCATCTTTGTGGCACATGCCTGGTGTCAATTATGCAAGGATGAAAATTTGCAATATGTGAACAGCAACTCTCTTTCTGAATGATTGATTATTCAATTTGAAAATTATTCAATTTTTAAAATACTCGTAACTAATATTATTTGTCCTTATTCGACATCAATGATTTAAAGTTTATGAAAATAGAAGTACTGGTAAATAACGTTAACATATTCGACTAATGATCGAGCAAAAAAAAAAACTACTATAAAGGTTTGTTTTTAAATTTCCTAATTCTCCAAGTGTTGTTTACTTGACCAAAGCTCAATTTATTGCTTTATGATAATTATAGGACTATACCTCTACTATTATTGTAATAAATTCTCCTTTTCTCAAAAATTCTATGGTCTTATTGGTTATAGAAACTCTAGATTTTTAAATTATGCTCTTAGGGATCATCGTAAAGTATTCTCTTAAATTCTGTAGTTCTGTGAATATACTCTCTAATCTTTCAGCTCTTAAGCTCAAGAAACAGCAACTTTATGATTGTGTTGCAGAACATGATTAAGGTTGAAATTTCTATTAAAGCGTATTTATTCATGACGTCTGTGTTCGAGCTTGCTATTCAAATATCTGTAATTAGACTAACTTCTGATTTGTCAATCACATATATCACAACATTTGGACAACACTGTGCCGTATTGTCGCAAAATAACGCACAGGGTGTTATTTCAAATTTTGGTTTAAATTTTGGTCTAAATTAAGCTTAATTCTGTTCGCTATTTTAAATAACGCCCATGTGCGTTTTTTGCGACAATACGGTATGTATCAACATTTATTTTAGCCTATTTTAATAATGATATTGATGCGTTTTGAAAAATTTTAATACTTTTTTTTTTCTAATTTAATATACTTGACTTGACAATTAAAAGCGACATTAGTAAACTATAATAAAAAAGTGATGCCTGAAAAAATAAACGAAAAAAAAAAAGCTTCGCTGACAAATCATTTATTATTGACTTGCGTATTGAATTTTTTGATTGATTTGATTTGTCAATGATCATGGCTAAGATAACTCGACTCAGGAATAAAAGTTGGCCCATCAGTTGATCGCGTGATCGTATTGTTGTTTTTTTTATATAAATTTCTCGAAACAGATTATTAATGAGATACGGACTCGATGTAGTATCTTAACGATTGTTAAATTATATTTCTTAAATATTTATTATTGATCGACTAGGGCATTCTCAAGCACTATCTTCAATTCATTGATGGTAAATGACAGATGATCTAAAATGACCTTAAAATACCAATCATTATGGTCTTTCAA